ACTGGACAACCTCCTCCCAACCCTATCTGAAGTATTTCGCGGGAAGGCACTACCATGGTTCCGCGTACGTAAGCCACAAATCCACTCGTGCGCTGTATTTCTTGCAGAAGTGGAACGGTTCGTCCTTCCAAGGCGATATATCAGCCAGCTGGAAGATGCCATCCGGCAGCGACGCCAACAAAGCCGAGAGAAGACGAAAGATTACATCCTGGCTCTACAAACGCTGATACGCCAACACCCGACTATGTGCGGAGAGGACCCCTTGGAACGCATCTACGACGGCTTACGCGTGGAGTACCGCCTCTTTGTTAAGCGGTGAGAGTTTAAGACGATCGAAGTGCTGATGGATCTTACCGACGAATTCGAGCTCTTGGAGGGGGAAGAGGCCAGAAATGGTAAGCAGGCGGCACACAGTCTATCCCCCCTCACGAAAAGGGACACAATAAAGAGGAGTCTTGCTAGTCTTGATAGGTTGCTTCGCCGGTAATCGTTTGTCGAGCCGCCGAGTACCACTACGAGCAATCCGCTGCTATTAGAAGCCACCCACTGCTGTTAGACGGCACCCGCTGCAAGGATCACCTACAGAGGTTCATCCGCCGCTACGTAGGCTTACCTGCCGTGCCACAAGTGCCCCTCGTTTCCCGCTTGTCGCCCGCCGCTACGGAGTTTCACCCGCCGTGCTGTAAGCGCCCTTACCGTTGCTCACCAGCCGCCCCGTTGCTAGCACCATACTGCCGCTCACCAGTTGACCCGTCATACGCTCCCACCAGACCTCTCGGCAACAAAGGAACGCCATCATACTCTCTTCCCCCCTCTCTTTGGACATAAGATTACCGACACTCTACTTATAACGCCGTGTATGTGTGTGTTCGAATTAAACACACGAGAATACTGTGTTTTTTTTTTTATTGGTGGGGGTTAGTGGGATCTTCACTCGACTCTGGATCGGCTGATCTTACCTCAGGCTTTGAGAAAACCCACCGCCTCTGTTAGCTGATGTCCACTCTAGAGAGTTCCTCTGGAGAAATTACAAAGTACGACCCAAGCTGCTTAAAACTGAGCTCCGTAAAAGCAGGACAGCTGAGCAGCAATTTGAAGACGTACTACATGAGCTCCCACTGGGCAGTGTTCAGTCCGAATACCCACCAAAGCCGACAGCTATCGCTTAGTAAGCTGGAGAAGGTTCTAGCGTATGCTTGACCGACTAAAATTCGATTTTTGCATAAGAAGTCCGCAAGTACCCCAACGACATCCCTTTCATTGGTGATGGCTTTTATGGTGTCCTGCCTGGAAACTTCATCAGCACTGCTGTTTCCTGCAATCTCTTTGTGTGCAGAAAGCCAAATAAGTCTGATGAGGAATTAATCTAAGGCATTATAGAGAGAGAGAGAGATCAGACGTTCCCAGAGCAAGTTTGGCCTTACCATCAGCGATCCCAGCGCTCTGGTCACCGTTTGGCTGTCAGAGTAGATATTTACCCCACTAAACGGTATCGGCTACCTCTGCAGAAGTCCGGTAACCTTAATTTAATATCTAAGTGTAGTTCCTCACAGAAACCGCCTGCTTTAATACTGCCATCAAGCTTCGACCCATCCGTGAATATATTCACCGGTCCTTTGTTCCAGAGACTACCCCCTTCCCATGCGTCCCTTGCGAGCACGCAGCGTACAGAAAAGTTTGTGAACAAATATAGGCACCCCTGCATAACGCCGTACAGCGTGTTCAGAAACTGCCATGGCACTTAATCTACTAGATATTTTTGCATAAAATGCATATAAATTTGCAAAAAGCTAAATTAAAAGCCTGCACATATATACAGTGACGAGCAAAACTGTAACATGATGTAACTCTTTTTAATGCAGCCATCGCTATATTTCCAAGTTCTAAAGACTTTCATCCTTTTGTTGTATATTCTTGTTGGTACATCCCTGCTCCCTCTCTCATAACGATTTGAAGTCAATACAACAACAATAAAAAAACCAGCAGACAAAAATTTAAATTGAGGCCGATGTTACAGTTTCGCACTCACTCTCAGTTTTGCATTTGACAGTTATCTCTTACTTAGTTGGAAGTCAGATGACTTTTTTCTGTATTGTAATTTATTGAAGAAGTGATCACCAGTAAATAATATAGTTAATCAGGAACCATAAATGTAAATAATAGATTTACTGCGGAAAGGCGGGACCGCACGAAAAGTGGCAAAAAATTTTGGAATTTGCTACTTGAAAATGTTAAGACTGAGAAAAAATATAGCCTAAAGTGTTCCCAAGAACAAAGGAAGTCTGTCAAAAAATATTACGGTACGGTATCTTGTGAACTTAGCAGCAAGTAGCGATGCAGCCACTATTACAGAAGCGCTTAAGGTATTAAACTTTAACGCAAATCAATAGACAGCGAGGCGAAGAATTGCCAAATTGAGCGCAAAGGATCATAAAAGAAGAAAAAAACAAATCTGATCAAAATACATGTGCGAGTGCGGCAGCATTTTGCTGCATCGCACGAAATCCGAACCGTTGCCTATTGGGATATGTTAGGTCGTTCAGAATGCAATAAAAACATATTTTTAAGTTTCAATTGAAGGTTATTTGGTCCGACAATAACTAAAACGACTAAATTAATCGCTTTCAATCAGATGGCCGGGCATGCTATTGGGTCAAAGACCCAAATTAAGCCCATGCGCAGCATGTAAGGCAAACTGTGAATAAAAGTGGTCGGTCAATAATAGTTTGGGGTTGTATTTCAAACATTTTCTTGATCTGTTAGTACAGATTATGCGTGAAGAACAGTATCTGTTCATATTTCAATAAAATTTGCAAGATGTAGTCGAAAAAATTAGAGTTTCTGCTGAAAAATCACCCAAAACACACTGCACATATTCGCAAAGACTGGATACAAAAGCAAAAATTTGCTGATTTCAAATGAGCTCCACAATCCGCGGACATAAATCTCATTGAGAATTTGCGAAAACAACTAAAAGCACAGTTTACTAAGTATCCAAGTCCGTAAAATCGAGTATATGAGCTGTGAAAGCAAACTAAGGATATACCTCCAGAATTTTTACAGAGATACGAATAAGGTATGCCAAATCGTATCCAGGAACTGAAACAAGCAAAAGAGTACTGAACATTGTGTTAGTAGTTCTTTTTTTCGTGAAAATTGTTAAAAAGTTCTTAAAAATGTATGAGTGCAAAACTGTAACATCTGCCTTAATTTACATTTTTTTCTGCTGGTTTTTTTATTGTTGTTGTATTGACTTCAAATCGTTATGAGAGAGGGATTAGGGATGTACCAACAAGAATATACAACAAAAGTATGAAAGTCGTTAGAACTTGGAAAGATAGCGATGGCTGAAGTAAAAAGTGTTAAACCATGTTACAGTTTTGCCCGTCACTGTACATACATATATAGGGTGTAGGGCCGCGCACATTAGACCAATTAGTGCCGGCGGTGCAGCAATAATGTAGCCATGCAAGGGACTGTGCAAAAGACCACTGAAACATCAGCCATAAAGTTGGAATATCAAAGCTTCTTGTCCACGCATCAATTTTTCAATTAACCATAATAGCTTACATAAAATCATATAAAAAGTGAATTGTATAAAACAATAAATAATACTCATACATATGCACATATTTACAAATATGTCGCTTCCCGCGTGTGTGTGACTTTCAGTCTGATAACTATAAAACAATATATGTACATATGTACATATATAAAAAATGGACTGAACATAAGAATGATAATGCTAAATAAGCACGGTCAATGAAGTAAAAACCACAACATGGACGGACATAAGTATGTATATTTGTGAATATATGTATAAGTTTATTTAAAAAAAAAGCAAACGCCGGCGCTCTGCTCTTTCCACCCAACGTTAATTTTGTACAACTCACAATGGCAAAATCCACGACCACAGTTGAGCGCAGTTGGAAACGGTCGGGTATTGGCTATGGAGAGAGCGCGACGGTGAGAAATGTGCTGCAGATGCGCACCAAAACCAAATTTGCCAAATCTCAAATGAAAGCGAAATTAAATTAATACGAGTACTATACACACATATATACATACCTACATACATGCGGACAGACATGCTGAATAAACTTTAAATAATACAATAGTACTACAACTGAATGATTGGGGTTACGTAGACTGGGAACGCAAGCAGCGTTTATTGTTGTGGATGTCGCGCAAAGAGCAAGCGCAAAGAGACGACCAACGCGGTTGCTGGGTTCTAAACGCTCTCGGGCTCTCCGCATTGCATGGCGGCGGCACAGTACATTGCAGATGATGTATGTAGTGGTGACACCACTAGAACAACTCAGCGGCGGCGCTGACTCGTTGACATATAGCTGGCTGGCTGGCTGGCTGGCTGGTTGCTTCCGCTTCTAGACAAACGCAACGTTCTAGTTGGGACGAGCCGCTCTGGCAATCTGGTTGAAAATTCTTAATAGTACGTGTGCTACGAATATTGTGCGTTCGCAAGAAGACCGACCGCGCGCCCGCCCGCTGGACTTTTCTTCCACACGCCTACAAGCAGCAGTTTAGCCGTCAACTGTGAAAACAAAGCTGAACCAGCAGCAGCAGTTTGTTGGAACAAACAGATACGTTATTAAGGTGAATCTAAGGAGCCGCGGAAGGGCGGAAAACACTTGCATACGTACATATACATACATGTATGTATGTATGTATGTATGCAGCTTTGGGAAATAGCACAAAAATTGTGCGCACCACCAGTGCGGTCATATTGGAAAATTACTGTGGTATATTTCTGACTTCGCTGCATATTGAAAGTGCATTGGTTGTACTAACTAGGTGGTGAGTATGTGTAAATGTTTATTCATATGTATGTATGTATGTATGTATGTATGTGTGTGTATTTTATGAGAAAACTAAAACCGAATTTATGCATTTTAGAAGTGCAAATCCATTGTGCAGTCAATTACCCGACAAAACGACATAACACACCAACAACAACAACAGCAACAATAACTGCAAGTGCGGCAGCACTAACAGAAAACGATAACGAAGCAAAAGTGCGATAGTGAAGTAAATAAAAAAAATAGAAAAAAAAATCCATCACAACGACGTCTACAACGGCGGCAGCCACGGCGTTCACATCGGATACGCCGAATCAACAACAAATTTCACGGCGTCGACGTCGGCGAATAGTCGACCCTTCGCCGCCGCCGCCANGCAACATTTCAATAATATCATCAATAGCAACAACAATCAGAGTAGTATCGGCAACAATACAAATGCACTAGCCGATAGTGAAGATGCCATGAAAGTAAAGGAGCGCGAAAAAGTAATGGCTGATAAGAATTCAAATGAAGCATTGGAGGTGATTAAGGAAGCCGAAGTCGAAGGTGTCGTCCAACGAATGAACGGAGCAGCCGTGGATGCCTGCAAGTCGGAAAATGTAAGTGGTTTACACATATGCACATACGTACATATTTACATTAATCAATTGTACATTCACTGATCAACAGTGGTCTTGGAGCCAAGCAGCTATAATTATTTTAAGACCTTATACTGGTTACATAAATAGAAAATAGAAAAACACAAATTTAACGTAAAAATTTTATATTTTACGACTTGCGTCAGTACTAGTCAGCCATCATAGTCGATTTCTTAGTAGATATCTCTTTACCATAGACACGCCAAGTTTTGGTCCTCCTCGCATGGTGTCGGTTTTTCATTTCTTCAAATTTCAAATCACCCTGTACCGCTAAAAAAAGCTCTAAATGCAAAATATTTGTACATGAAAACTTATTGCACATCTACCGGCCTTTACTTTACTTTGACATCTTAACTTTAGAGATTAGAAATAATGGTGCAGATCTGGTGATGATAAAGATTTCGTGAAACTCTTTCGTTCGACAATACATATTTCCATATTTCACATACATATGTAACTTGGGTAGAATTTAATTACATTCGACTTTTCAAACAGGTGGCAACCCTCTTCGAAATATTTTCAGACTACTGCCTTCCTAAACCCCTATTTGCCGGTGATACATATGTATGTCACCATATTCATAATTCAAATTACTTCAAAAAAAAAAACTTATGTTTTAACCAGGGATCGACCCACAAAATGGTAGTGCGGACCTCTAACCACTCGACCAATGTGGCCGCCCACGATATTCATTCGCATGGGCAAATACTCGAGCGTTTTTCAATAGGAGTTCTATGCCATCAGTTTTCGCGCAGACATAAATATGTACATACTTACTGTACACATAAGAACCCAGCACATTGCTATTTTCAGCGAAAAAACGGTTGTACTTGCTAAAACCCATTTGATGTCTAAAGAATTTAGAACCCTAGGGGCACAAGGGGTCATAAAACCGTAGAGTGCAACAAGGAAGCTGACAGGCAAACAAGTGAACCAATAGCTACCCGGAAAATAGGGCCGGCATCTTTCCTTGCGGCAGGACCATACCCTTGGTAAAAGAACCCATTGGCTAGGCTATCCAGCTTATAGAAAGTTGTAGCTCCAGGGAAGGTAGTCTCTCTCCCAAGTACAAGCTTAAACCGTAAACTGAATGGTCATTGCAGGCTGCGAGTCCCCTGAACACCATACGAATCAGCACAGACTACGCCTTTCGTAACTGTGATATGGCGGAACAAATCCTAATGCATATCCTTCTAGAATACAAGTCTGTCGGCAACAAGCACATTTTGCCAGATTTGGGTTTCATTGTGGCTTTAGAGCTTGCAGTTAGACGAGCTCTCGTGAAGAGCTTTAAGGCCACAGCAGACTTAATTTCGCAGCACATATTCTGTATTATATCCGTATATGTACCTATGTATCTAAAATTAATTCCCCACATGCCCATTTCCCTTTTTCATCCCACAGAAAGCTTCACCTTCACCTGCACTCCAGCAGCCTGCTCACGAAAAAATGCTCTATGATACGCGCATTCGGCGAAAAAATGTGCTGGCACTCAACGAGAAAGTGGCGGCCATACGCGAATATGAAAAATCACCGGTCTATAAGCGAGTTGGTCGCCTCTTCCACTGCAGTCCCGATCAGATAAAACGCATAGTACAGCAAAAGGATAGCATACTTGAGGCATGGCAACAACGTACGCGCCGCTGTCACGCCAAGACGCTCGAGATGAAGGTGGTGCGTGTTTCGATGCTGGGGAA